CTGGCTTTCTGAAATCCTGGTGGTGCAAGCCTCCATGACCCTGTAACCCTGTATTCTGCATGCCTAAAAAACAAGCACTCTTTGAATGACAGCATATTCTGTTACCAGTCAAGATGTAACCTAGAGACCTAATACTGTGGGATCTTACATGGTGGGATCTTAAACTTGCCCTCGAGGTTACTATTTCTATTGTCTTAGTTCCCAGCTTAAACCTGGTTCAGAGGCTGGTTGCTTCACCCTCAGGGTTTCAAAATCATTTCTTGGTTTTTGTAAGCTCCAATTTATCCATTTTCTCTTTATATGAAGATCTTTGAAAATTTCTGTTTAGGGCATTGGAGAGATGGCTCAGCACTCCAGGGCGCTTTCCGTTCTTGCAGAGGACTGGAGTTTGGTTCCCAACCCATGTCAGACAGCTCACAACTGCCTGTAACTCCAACTCCAGGAGCTCTGATACCTCTTCTGGCCTCCACAGACACCCTTCGTGTGTGTGTGTGTGTGTGTGTGTGTGTGTGTGTGTGTGTGTGTGTGTGTGTGGTGTGTGGAGAGGGAGAGAGAGAGAGAGAGAGAGAGAGAGAGAGAGAGAGAGAGAGAGAGAGAGAGGGAGGGAGGGAGGGAGGGAGGGAGAGGGAGAGGGAGAGAGAGAGAGAATGTGCTATGTTATCTTCTGGAAAATTGGTTGTCTCTATGTTTTCAGTAGAATTTTCCAGTATGGTGAATTTAAGATTCATATCTTTCCTCTATGGGTGTTCCGATTCCATTTGCCATTATATCTCAGCAACATATTTGACAGAGTTCTGGTGACAGGTCCAATTTTTCTCCTGATGTTGACACCCCAGTTGCTGCAGTTCTGTAATAAGTCTTCATGTTTAGTGGTGTAAACTCCTACATATTGTTCCTACATATTCTTTTTAAATTGTGTTTGGGGTGTGTGTGTGTGTGTGTGAGAGAGAGAGAGAGAGAGAGAGAGAGACAGAGAGACAGAGAGACAGAGAGCCATCAAGGCCATAATGAAAAGGCTACATGCAAAAACTCAAGAGATACAATTTCGAAGAATTATGGTAGCAGGGCTTGAGAGATGGCTCAGCCGCTAAGAGCATTAGATGCTTTTCCAGAGGACCTGGATCCAGTCCCGGTATCCACAATTTACCAGCACCCAGCAGCTCACAACTGTCTGTATAATGCCTGCTATGGGGAATCTGATGTTCTCTTTGGGTCTCTGTGGGCACCAGGCACATATGTGGTATACACACATACGTGCAGGCAAAACAGCAATACAATTAAAGTTAGTGGGGGCCCACACCTTTAATCCCAGCACTTGGGAGGCAGAGGCAGGTGGATCTTCGTGATTTCAAGGCATACCTGGTCTACAGAGGGAGTTCCAGGACAGCCAGGACTGTTACACAGAGAAACCCTGCCTGGAAAACAAACAAACAAGAAAAGAAAGAAAGCAAAAAGACAATGGTCCTGAGGATGTAGACCTGTAATCCCAGCTAATCGTTAATCTGTGGCAGGAGGATTGTAAAGTCACGGCTTGCATGAGCTCAAAGCCAGTTTAGGAGCTGGAGAGATGGCTCAGCAACTAAGAACGTTGGCCTCTCTCCCAGAGGGCACAGGTTCAATTCCCAGCACCCATATGGCAGCTCCCAACTGTCTGTAACTCCAGTCCCAGGGGATCTGACACCATCTTCTGACCTCCACAGCCATTGCATGCAAATGATCACAGACACACGCAGGCAAAACACCCATACACACTGTGTGCTGTCTGTGATGCCCTTTCGATACCCTGTGTTCCCTTTGTGCAACATTGCTTGGTTAGCTTCCTGCTGACTTCACCCCATTGTACAACAGCTTTATGCCGACCCTGCCCATTTCCCCCGTGTAAATCATATATAAGATGCTGCGCTTCTTAATAAACTTTCTTGGCATCAGACAAAACTTGGACAAGACCTCCTGACCCCAACTCTGCTATCTTTATTTTCTGGTCCTTCCTCTCAGGAACCTGTCACTGAAGAATGACCTGCTGGTCCTGGTCAATGGTGTACTTCTGAAGGGTCTAGAATCCAAATATATAAAGAGTTATCACAACTCAATAACAAAAAGATAACTAAATTCAAAACTGGGCAAAGTATTTGAATGGCAATTTTCCAAAGAATATATGTGTATACATATATATGCATATATGTATGTATATATATATATATAAAATGACCCATGAGCCATGCAAAAATACACACACATCTCTTAACTGAATGAAAAAAGATAAGAAAGAAAAGGAAAGGAATGCTCCAAGGTATAAACGGAAGGGAATGAGGCATGTGTTCACACCAAGAAATGCTGTACAGAAATACTCCTAGCAGCAGTGTTCATAATAATGAGTAAGTGGGAAAATATGACCATCCACCAATGCATAGATAAACAAATGTAGTAGGCCCATAAAAGCAGATATTATTCAGCCGTGGAAAAGTTGACATATGCTACAACATTCATGAAGCTTGAAACTACTGAGCAAACTAAGTCAGACAGAAACAGTCACATTGCATGATTCCATTTATGTAAAAATCAATGTCCTAGTTATGTTCCTATTGCTGTGATAAAGACCACGATCAAAAGTAGCTTAGGGAGCAAGGGGTATATTTGGCTTACAAATCCAGAGTCACGGTTCTTTGAGAGAAACCAAGGCAAGAACTCAAAGCAGGAGCCTGGGGGCAGGAGATGAAGCCATGGAGGAGGGCAGTTTACTGCCTTGCTCCTCGGGGCTTACTCAGACTGCTTTTTTAATGCAACTCTCAGGACCACCAGCCCAAGGTGTCACCACTCACGAGTGGGCTGGGCCCTCCCACATTGGTCATTAATGGAGAAAAAGCACTACCGACTTGTCCACAGGCAATCTGGTGGAGGCATTTTCTCAATTGAGGTTCCCCTTCCCAGATGACGCTAGTCTGTATCAAGCTGACAAAGAAAGAACAGCCAGAACAGTAAGAAAATGGGAAAATCCAGATATGTAAATTAGGCTTAGTGTTGAGGGAGAACGGGAAGCTTGCTGGAAAGTGAGTGTAGGGTTTCTTTTGGAGATTGGTGCAAGTCGTCTAAAGTCGGCTGTGGTGGAAGATGGAAAGCCAGCCCTCCAGCATAGCAAAAAACCATGGGATCGAATACTTTCAACAGGTGAGTGTAGGGTAGGAGAATTACATCTCAACACAGCTGAAACTCGTATCTCTGAGGAAAAGCTATGCTGGTGCACATTTCAACTGACAAGACAACTCTCATCAAGTGCACAAGTCCAGAACTGTCAGAAACATCATTGGTGCCATCATAGCTCTAAAGGGCACCCCCCAGTGGGAACCTTTGACATATACATCTTGTCATTTGCTAGAAGGATTCCTCTCTCTCTCTTCTCTCTCTCTCTCTCTCTCTCTCTCTCTCTCTCTCTCTCTCTCTGTGTGTGTGTGTGTGTGATTTATTTATGTACATTGTTGTTTTGCCTGCATGCATGTCTGTGTGAGGGTGTCAGAACCTCTGGAACTGGAGTTACAGACATGAGCTGCCATGTGGGTGCTGGGAACTGAACATGGGTCCTCTGGAAGAGCAGCCAGTGCTCTGCCACTGAGACATCTCTCCAGCCCTGGCTAAAAGGATTCTTAAGAAGACAACGGTTTCCTGATGACGATGGTGATAGTAATATGCTAGTTATGGAGATGACAATGGTGACATATAGGATGGTGATGGCGATGTCAGTGAGATGATGCTGGCGACGGGGAGGGGGGTGCTTCTGCAATGGAGATGGTGGTGGTAATTTGATGAAGGTGGTGGTGACATGATGTGATGATGATGATATAATAGTGACGATAGTGGTGATCACAATGATAACAATAAGGATAATGACCATAGCACTGAAGGTGAAACATGGGGCCTTCCACATGCTAGGCAAGTGCTCTACCACTGAGCTGTAACCCAGCACCCCCTACTTTGATTCCATAGATGAGCAAATTCGGGACTGCAAAGGGGCTAAACCGGCTGCCTAGAGTGGGCTTTGGTGTAACTGAGCCAGAGCCTGTTTAGATTCTCCAACCTTTCCCTGTAGGTTTTTTTTTGCTGGTATCTACCTCTACGCCTTTCACGCTGTCCTTCCAGCAGGTTAGGGACTAAATACCTCTTAGCTTTGGCATCCTGGTCAGGCCACTTGGGCAGAGTGCCAGCATGGGACAGGGGCAGCAGCAGTTTCTGGGAGAGTAACAGAAAATGATGCCAGGTTCTGAGAAGGTGGTGTAAACCAGGGTAAGATGTGACCATGTGGCCTGGGGTCTACTTGTTCCCATCATGTACACGCTTGGAGGTGTGTACTAGCACCCCCTGCCCACTTTTACCCACCTCATAACCCGTATGACTTTGGGTTTGCCCCCAGAAGGTGCCTGTGAGTCACTCCACCCATGGAAACCTCCCTGCTCTAACCTCAGGCAGAGCAGACAACAGACTCTCATTCCTACACAGCTTTCAACAGTACGCGCTTGCTCAAACCTGGGGCAGGGCTGGGATGTAGGTATGGACAGGAAGTGGTCACCAGTTGTGAACATCTCTCCCCACGACCCACGGAGGAGGGGACGGTCATGTGGACTGAGAATGAGTGAAGATCGAGCCTGATTCTAAACACTGCACCCCACCCCTTCATGTCCCCTCTCCCGGGATACTGGGATTATCCAGTTTTGGATGAGGAACAGAGACAGCAAGAGGCCGAAGTCACTCAGGCCCAGGCCACCCTCAGCAGCTGACAGCTCCTCATGTCTCATACACTCGGAGAAGAAGATGAGAACGGTCAGCGGGCCCACCGGCCCACACCAGAGTCCCACACCCCCAACACCTCTGCATGGCAGATGAGGCCCTGGCCTTCACAGATGACTTCCTGAGGGCTGACACAGGCCGGATGAGGAGGTGACAACAGGGTGGGTGCTGGTGGGAACCTGTGACCACAGTCTGGGGGCAGGGCAGGAAGCAGTAGTGATGTGACAGTGGCTAGGGTGGGCCTGCCTGGGGATCGCAGCACCGTCTCAAAAGCGCCCATTGGGAGCGCAGGAGGCCACCGTGCTGCAGTGGCTCTGTGGGACTTCAGGTAAGGGAGAGGAAGGGTGGGAGGCAGGGAGGCTGGGATAGCCTGGGAAAGGGAACTGGGAGGCACGGCCCGAACCACAAACAAGAGCCCCGGATTTCTGACAGCCTTCAGGCCCATCACTGACCCCATCATCCGTCTTGTGGCCACTCCGGGGCTCATTTGTAAATGAAGACTGTCCACAGGTTCAAAGACTATTTAAAGGTCTGGCAGTTAGAGTCTTTAAAAGATGGAAATAGGCCTAGTATGGGGTGTACCTACGATTCCACCACTGGAAAGGCAGTGAGACATTCTTGCAAAAGATGCAAGGAAGGGGAAGGAGACGGAAGAGGAAAGGGAAGGAGAGGGAAGGGGAAGGAAGAGGAAGGAAAGGGAAGGAAGGGGAAGGAAGAGGAAGGGAAGGGAAGGAAGAGGAAGGGAAGGAAGGGGAAGGAAGGGAAGGGAAGGGAGAAGCAAAAACCTGTGAATAGACTACTGACAATACAAAGAGTTCTAGGAGACTGATGTCCGTGAGTCCATGTCAGGAGCATTCTGGTCACCTAACAAGGATGCTAACAAAGGTCACCTAACAAAGGGTTCTCCCTTTGCCTGTTTATCTCCCAGCCGCACATGTTGCCTGAATTCTGACTCCAAGTCACTGCTTTGAGTAGACCACAAAGCCTGCAGCTAGGTGTGAAGGACACTTACGTTCCTTGCTCGCTCACCTAAGACCCTGCTGCATATGGCAGGCAGCAGAGGAAAAAGCTCTCTGAGGGTCCTGGAAGGAGATTAAGCATCAGTTCTCAACCTGTGGGTTGCAACCATTGGAAAACACGTATTTCTGATGGTCTTAGGAACTGAGATACCGCTCAGTAGCAAAATTACAGTTATGAAGTAGCAACCAAAATTAATTTATGATTAGGGGTCCCACGTCGGAAATATATTTTTCCGATGATCATGACACACAGGTTGAGAACCCCTGAGGTAGGAAGGAGAAGTCAGGGTATTCAAAACTAGGACTCTAAGCTGTCTCAAAGCAAGGAGAGCCTTCTAGATGGTCATGGCAACAAGTAGGTGCCTGTCCCTGCCATGAGTCCAATCCGAAAAACTTGCCAGGGAATATCATGACAGGAAACCTGAGCAATGGAGGAGGCTTGCGAGAGGACATAAGACACAGGGCAGCCATCATTCGTTGCAGAGCTGGGGCTGGTGCCCTTCCAGGACACTCAGAGCAGCTACATGGGAAGGGCAGAGAGAGGAAGGGAGCTTACCGCCTCTCCATATCTGTAAGGGAGAGACAGAAGTGAACGCTGGAATTAGAAACAAGGAAAGAATTAGCTAGGAGACATGCCTGGGGCCACAGGCTTGGGATCCTAGTGCCTCTGGAAGATCACACTTGTCAAGGCTAGCCTGGGCTACAGAGTGCCTTCAAAGCCGCCCTGAGCAACTTAATGACACCTTGTGTCAAAATAAATAAATAAAGAGGTAGAGTGTGGCTCGGTGACAGAGCACTGGCCTATGGGGGTTCATCCTGGGACAGAGGAGGGGAATCAAGCAGGCAAATGTACCCTGTTCTGGGTAGAAAGTGACGCTTCTCCAAAGCCTAACCTATTGTAGATGCGTTGTTCCTCCTTTATGTTCAGAGCCATCTCCCCACACCCCATCAAGTGTTGCTCAGGGTCAGAGCCATCAATCTTGGTTCCCACTAGTTCTGAGATAGTAAAATCTCAGCACAGGGCTCCCCCTGGCCGTATGGCTCTGGGCTATATGCTTAACCTTCCTGGGTCTCTCTGCACAGTGGACCAAACCTGTGAGAGCCAGGCCAGCTCTGGCACGCAATAACTAAAGAGAGTTTCCGTCTCTCTCCTTGATGATCCCCAGTGGTGAGTAAGGTCAACATCTTTCACCCTTGTTTCCACAGCTTTCCAGAGCTCACGGCAGCTGTACCCGCAGCTCCATGGCCATGCACTTGTTCCTCCTGGGCCTTCTCCTGCTGCTGCCGCCACCCGTACCTGCTCCTTGCTACACCGCCACTCGGTCAGAATGCAAGCAGAAGCACAAGTTCGTGCCAGGTACATGGCTGGCTGGGGAAGGCGTGGACGTGACCACCCTCCGCCACTCCCGCTCCTTCCCAGTGAACACACAGAATTTCCTGAGGCCTGACCGCACCTGCACCCTCTGTAAAAACTCCCTGAAGGGAGATGCTATACAACGCCTGCCCCTGGCAGTCGCCCACTGGCGACCTCACGGCTCAGGCTGCCAACGCAAAGTGGCCACAGTCAAGGTTAGCTCCACGGAGGGCGTGGCCCGGGATGCAGCTACTAACATCAATAATGACTGGCGTGTGGGGCTGGATGTGAACCCCAAACCAGAGGCAAACATGCACGTGTCCATGGCTGGCTCCCACTCCAAGGTAGCCAACTTTGCAGCCGAGAAGACCTCTCAGGACCAGTACAACTTTAACACGGACACCGTGGAGTGTCGCCTGTACAGGTAAGAACCGGGGCGGCGGCAGAGGGAGGAGCCTGAAGAGTAGTGGGACACCCCAAGGGTCTGGAATAGCAGCGTGCTGTCTACAGACTGCTTTGCAGGAAGGCACCAAACCCTGATTGCTCTAGACCAGTGGTTCTCAACCTTCCTAGCACTGCGACCCTTTAATACAGTTCCCCATGCTGCGGTGACCCCCAACCATAAAATTATTTCATTGCTACTTCTATAATTTTGCTACTGTTACAAGTCATACTGTAAATATCTGGTATGTGATCCCTGCTGTGAGAGCCACTGCTCTAGATTCATTTCTGTTGCTGTGATGAAAATGTCCCGACCAAAACGCAGCTGAGGATCGAGGGCTTGTTTTAGCCACACTTCCAGGTTGCAGTCCATTGTCCCATGATGTCAGGGCAGCAGGGACTTGGAGCAGCTGATCACATCACACCGGTAGCCATGAGAGAGAAATAAATGCACTCATGCTTAGCACTCTATAGATTTCTCTATTCGTATACAGTCCAGGACCCCAAACAGGAAACGGTGCTTTCCACTTGCAAGCTGAGTCTTCCCACATCAATTGAGGCAATCAAGACAATCCCCCACAGGCATGACCACAAGTCATCCTGAACTAGATAGCTCCCCACTGGGGCTCAGGCGATTTTTAGGTGGTGTCAAGCTGACAAAACTAACCATGGCACTGGTCCTAAGATTACAGATCCTACAGCCCTGTCTGTCTGTCCATCTGTCCGTCCGTCCGTCCGTCCATCCATCCATCCATCCGTGGTAGGCCTCCTCTATTTATGAGCACCCACATCCAGAGATAAACGAGGTGGAAGCAAGACTGTTTCTGAGTCCTAGCTTAGTGACAGGTACAGGCAGAGAGCACCTAAGCCCTCTCTCCCAGGCACTGCCAACCTCCCATGGGTCCTTTGTATGTAGGGACAGAGACAGGAGACCTGGTTATGTCTTCTCTCCTCACTTCATGGATACACAGTGACTTCACATCTTCTGCACTGGTTTCTCAGGCTTTTAAAAACTAGTTCTGTTTCATTTATGTATGTATGTATGTATGTATGTATGTATGTATGTATGTGTGTGTATGTATGTATTTAGAGAGAAAGTGTGTGTGTGTGCATGTGTGTGTGTGTGTGTGTGTGTGTGTGTACCACAGTGTGCAGAGACCAGGGAACAACCTGTGACAGTCTTTTCTCTGCCTCTACTATGTGGTGGGTTCTGGGGATCAAACTCAGGTCGGCAAGATTTACCCACTGAGATACACTACCCCCTTTATCCCTAGTGCACACACTTTACGTTTTTAGATAGCATGTATTAATTTTAAATAACAATAGGTGTCACCGTGTGTATCTATTTTAATCACCCCTTCTTTTTCCCAAGTAGCCCCATCTAGCCCCATTGTACTTTTGTGTCTGTGTCTACGTGTGGGGGAGGGGCCTTGAAGGCTGACTGGCATCAGGGAAACGCCACCCACTAGTCTCACTAGTGCTGTGCTCTCCCCGCAGTTTTCGCCTGGTACAGAGACCCCCACTGCACCCCGATTTCAGAAGGGCACTCAGGAACCTTCCCCCCAGCTTTAACACCTCCACAAGGGATGCTTATGACAGGCTCATCTCCTCCTACGGTACCCACTTTATCACGGCTATGGACCTAGGTGGCCGCATCTCAGCCCTCACGGCCCTGCGCACGTGTCAGCTGGCTCTGGACGGGCTGACAGCTGATGAGGTAGGAGACTGCCTGAACGTGGAGGCCCAGGTCAGCATCGGTGCCCACGCCAGTGCCTCGAGCGAATTCAAAGCCTGCGAGGAGAAGAAGAAACAGCACAAGATGACCACCTCTTTCCACCAGGCCTACCGAGAGCGTCAGGTCGAAGTGGTTGGAGGCCACCTTGATGCCGCGATGCATGACCTGCTCTTTGGGAACCAGGCCACACCCGAGCAGTTCTCAACCTGGGTAACCTCGCTGGCCAGCAGTCCCGGTGTGGTGGACTACAGTCTGGAGCCTCTGCACCTGCTGGTTGAAGAACAGAACCCCAGGCGGGAAGCGCTGAGACAGGCTATCAGCCATTATGTGATAAACAAGGCTCGTTGGCGGGACTGTAGCCGGCCCTGTAGGGCTGGCCAGCATAAGAGTTCCAGTGACTCGTGCCAATGCGTATGCCACGATTCGAAGGTCACCAACCAGGACTGCTGTCCACGCCAGAGGGGCTTGGCCCAGCTGGTAGTGACAGATTTCCAGGCAGAGCATCTTTGGGGGGACTACTTCACATCTTCTGATGCTTATGTGAAAGTTTTCTTTGGTGGCCAGGAGTTGAGGACCACTACAGTGTGGAACAATAACAATCCCAAGTGGACTGACAAGCTGGACTTTGGGAATGTGCTCCTGGCCACGAGTGGACCCCTGAGGGTGCAGGTCTGGGATGCTGATAACGGCTGGGACGATGACCTTCTTGGTTCTTGTGACAGGGCTCCCAAGTCTGGCTACCACAGGACGACCTGTAGCCTGAACCATGGCAGTGTGACGTTTGTCTACAATATTAAGTGTTTGCTGCACCTGACTGGAGAGACCTGCCTGGAGTATGCCCCCGTGAAGCTTCCAGGAGACCCTCCGGGAAACCGCAGCGGGGCTGTGTGGTAAGCAGCAGCACGCCTTTAATCCCAGCACTCGGGGAGGCATAGACAGGTGGATCTCTGTGAGCTGGATGCCAGCCTGGTCTACACAGGGAGACCTGTCTTGAAAAAAGAAAACAATAAAATAGCACACTCTGAAAGCACTTGAGTGCTTGACTGAGTTCTCTCAGCGAATCCACAACGGCTCACTATGCAGTAAAGACTGAGACTTGAACTTCTCACTGAAGTGGCTGAGTTTATATAACAGCTTCCCTGACCTTCCCTGTCCACACTGCCTCAGCCCTCCCATGTCACCAAGCCTAACATCTACTGCTACACAGCACAAACATTGGCCAGGAGTCCAACTGAAGGCCAGGACGCTGTGTCCCCCCAGCTTTAAGGCCCTCCTTGGCATACAAGGCCATCTGTTAGAGAGGACCCCTGTGTCCCAATCCTGTGTGCCTTTTGTCCCCCATTCTGCTCCTGACAAATCAAGGCCTGTGACACCAAGCACATAGCTTGATAGAAGGCCAATGGTAAACATGCTGGTGGCACGGTGGCAGAGAAGAGGGGACAAATAGTGCCACAGGAATAGACTTCTGTGTCCAACGACCCAGCTTTGTAAAATGGATAGTCAAGAAGCATAAGCAAACTGTTTCTTTTTTCTCTATGTTTTCTGGTACTGGTAACTTACTTCAGTCAAGAAATGGCAGCATACACTCAATAATAAATCATGATGGGCATTCAATTTCTGGCTGAAAGACAATGGGGAATGGTGGGGACTGTGGTGAACTGAGAATGCCAAGCCCAGGACCAGAGGCTCTTCTTACTTCTTTTATTTACATGGATCTATTTATGTACATGAGTTCATGAGTGCGTGCATGCGTGCATATGTGTGTGTGTTGTGCCTGTGTGTGCACATCTGTGTGTGCACATCTCTGTGTGTGTCTGTGTGTGCAGGCTATCACCAGACCAGGGCTGACCATCGAAAACCTCAGCTTCCAAGAGAATTCATCTGCATAAGTCTATAAGTTCTCCCCTGCTTCACAACTTGGGGGAAGCAGTGGTTCTAACAGGGTAGTCTAAAAGTCTTCCAAGTTCAGCCTGCTCAGCCAGCCGTCAGGATCTGATATCAACCGACGCCCTCTTTGTTTCGTGTGCCTGGGACACAGGTCATGGAGCGCACACAAGCTTTGTGGCAGCATTGGAGCTGTGGCAGGGCTTGGCGATGCATGGCTGTTTGTAGTCCAAGGGGCTTGGAGGAACCACACAGACCCTGAGTGGTTTTGAAATCCCCAACAAAATAAACCGTGAGGTGCATGTGAGACCCAGGGACTCAAACCCCAATCTCTGACATTGCAGTGACCCTAAATCCCCAGCAAGCAGGAGGGTCAGGAGGGTCTAGAAGCCTGCAGAAACCAGTGTTCTTACATGTTTCCAGGCTCAGCTACACACAAGCAAGACCACAGGAAACCTTGCCTGACATCTTGACACCTGACACTACCTGTGGCCCTGGGTGAAAAAAAAAGGTGGTGGTAGCCAAACCCCATTAAGAAAACAGATCTGCAGGACTGGGGTGGGGCAGGACTCATTCAGCAGGCCCTTTACCCTGCCTCAGTTTCTCTCAAATGATAATCTGTGTATTTTTCCCCTTCCTCAGGTCACTAGCCTGTGTAGGATAAGAGAAGGGATCCTGAGAGAGATGCCATGAACTCTGAAAGGTCATTTGCTAGCCCTCCTGGTTTCACACATAGAGAAGTTGAGGTTAGCCTGGCAGTGGTGACACACACCTTTAATCCCAGCACTCAGGAGGCAGAGGCAGGTGGATCTGTATGAGTTCAAGGTCAGCCTGGTCTACAGGCTGTCATTGGGCCTATCTCTGGGGAAAACAGCTCTGGCACACATCGGCCATGTCATTGCCATACTTAAAAACCAATAAGACTGCTCCCCCAACCCTGGGTGTCCCCAGCTGTGATGTAAAGAGGCTGAAACAAAGATTTCTGCACAGCTTCAGGACTCAGCTGTCTCCCCCTGATAGTCTACAATGTCACCACATCAGTTGGCATGGTGGAGATCATGAGGTACCACCACCCCTGGGCCTGGAAGACACCTGAATCCTTCTGCATCTCCCTTCCCAGAGGCTAGTCCTCGACTCCGAGCTAGCCCAGACTGGAACAACTGCTGTTGCTCTACAGGCTATAATCAGGCTTTGTTGTTCACTGTGGGGGCTCAATGGCACATCTGGACTCACTGTTAATCTCCCAAACATCTGGTTCTTGTCTTTGTCTTAAAAGAACACTGACGTCAGCTTTCTGACAGTACCTTGGGCTTTTCTCTGGGAACCCCAGCCTCCCTGTGACCATAAATAAGGCTAAACCCAAGGAGGACAGCCACATCTCCCTGTCCTCTCTGCTCTCCGGACTTAGTCCCTGGGCTCCAGGAAGTTTTCTCAGTGTCCTGCACAGGACAGAAGGCAGTAATTGGGCAAGCATGGACATCATCACCGCCCATGTCTAACCCTCCCCAGGGTGGGTTCTAGGACACCATATGAATTCGTTTTGTAAAATGTTTTTAAAGTCAGAGAATTGGGAAGAGGGCCCTCACTCCCTTCCCTGCCTCTTTCCCCCTCCCTCCCCTCCCAGGCAGCCTCCCCTGAGGACTGTAGAGTTTTAGGCATGGGGTAGGCTTCAACTTCTCAGACCTTCTCCACAGCCTAGTGAGGTAGACACATGTCTCCCCATCACAGAAATGGGGTCATCCATAAAGCCACAGCTCTTCCCCGTGCTTTACAGACACCATAAGACCTCAGACCTTACAGTTGTTTTTTATCATAAATACATAGATTTTATTTATAAATTTAAATAAATACAACAGGGTAGAATACAATGAACCACATTGCTTAGTTGAAACATTTATCTGCATCTTTTACTCCTGAGTTCTTCTCATACTTCCATTTAATTATCCACTAGATTCTGGTAATTTTATATGTTCTTAGAATTAAAGGATTTCCTAATATTTATTAATACCTAGAAAAACTTCTTACTATCACCATTGTTTTTTTTGTGAGTGTGGTTTTGTTTTTGTTTGTTTTTGTTTTTGAGACTTTTTGTTTTTTTGAAACAGAGCTTCTCTATGTAGCACTGGCTGTCCTGAAACTCCTGCTGTAGACCAGGCTGGCCTTGAACTCAGATATCTGCCTGTCTCTGACTCCTGGGTGCTGGGATGAAAGGTGTACCCCACCACCGCCTACCTTAACAGTTTTCATGCCCAGCATCCCTGATGTCTTCATATACTCCATATGCTCCTAGTGCCATCACGGGTTGTAGCAAACCCATCAAAAGACATGCTGCTCTCCAAGAGCAATGTGTCCATGTCACCCTGCCATTCCAATTTCCTAAAACATGATAAAGCACATGTAAGGTGACATTTCTGGTCGGAGTATCATCCGGTGGTATCCAGTGATTTCACGATATTTCATAACCATCACCACCTAGCAGACCCAAAATTTTTCCTCCTCCTCAAAACAGTGCTATGCCCACGATGCTAAAATTCCTTCATTGGGGTGGGGGGGGTGCAAGCCACATCTACCCCTTCTCCTAAGGTACCATGACAAATCAAGACAAAGTTTACTTTGGGGAACTGAGTCTATTGGGCTTCCTCAGAGAGCATAGATGAGGGGTTACTTACAGGGCATGGGTTCTCTCCCCACTTATCAGGACTCACCCAACAAAGATGAGGGTTTCTCTGTATCTGCATAGGTGAAGCCCACCTCCTCTCTCCTCTTCCCACCTAGACAGTCTAACCCCTCCTCAGCCTGCATGCAGTTAAGGTAGAGCTGCATACGATGGGCCAGGCGGTAGGGAGCTGCTGGTGGTGGGGAGCTCAGATGAGGGTCTCATGACCCAAGGGGATCTAGACAGACAAGCCCAACTTGGATAATCCGTTTTCAAGGGGGCACTGCTGAACTCCCCAAGATTGTGGTCACTTGCTTCAAAGTACAAGAGCCCACTAAACAACAGTAACCCCAGCCCTAGAAACTTCTATCCTCTGTCATCCCGTCATTTGCTGTGTGCTGGTACTTGGTGTGCTCAAGGAATTCTGCAGTCTTCTGTTCTGTGTCTGGCTTCTGCCACTATCCAACTGTGCTGGATCAAAATGCCATTCCGTCTGTGGCTGGGTAATGATGCTATGAACATTGGTATTCAAGTGTCTAGCTGCTTTTAGATTCATGCTTCGGAGCAGGATTGCTGCTCATGAGGGAGTTCACTAGACAGTTTCCCTCAGCTGGGCACAATCCCGCCTGTCAGGTAGAGGGAGACACGGGGGCATTGGGGAGTCCCCACAGGTGCGTGGGAACTCCAGCTCCTCTGACACCTTTCCCTTATACCCTCCACACACGTGAGATCCAGTCTGTGAGAGGCTTTTCTGTCTGGTAAGCCACCTCCTCTGTCACTGATCCTTCAGTTCTGTCAGGATGAGGGCAGCTTGTAGACTGGCCAGAGGCCCCTCCTCAACAGTCAACCCCTCCCTCCCATCCCAGAATGCCCCAGGCTCAGGGTAACTGCTAAGAGAGGGTCCTCCCCACAGTAACAGTAAGAGGCAGCTCCTGAGTGACCCTGGGACATGTGTCTAGCCTGGGCTCCCCTCCTCCACCGCGAGCAAACTGGGCAGAACAGAGAGGCCTGGATTGTGCTGTAACTGGCAGTGTAAACACACATCTGTTTATAATTTTTAAAACACAACAAAAATGGATCTCTGTGGAACCAATTGAGAAGGTCATTTGTCTGGTAGGGAATTACACAACTTTCTTTTTAAAATTTGCTTTACATGTGGGGGTCATAGAAGAACTTGCAGGGCCTGTTTCTCGACACCTTATCGGGGCCCCAGGGATTAAATTCAGGTCATCAGGCTGAGTGACAAGGGCCTTTACCTGTTGAGCCATCTTGTCAGCCCTACATAACTTTTTTTTTTACTAGACAGGGTTTCTCTGTATTGTTTTGGAGGCTGTCTGCAGCGCCAACACCACAAGCAAGTCCAGGGTATCAGGAAAAGAGAGACAAGACGTCCATTTGTTTGACCAGACGTACAAACTGTTTGTACTAAGAGAATGCATGTGTTGCCTTTATTGCCAGGAGAATGTGTGTGTGTGTGTGTATCTTCATTACAAGTGCTAAGGGGTCTCTCCCTTGTAGGTGGGAGGAGCTTTTTATACAAGTTTACAGCACAGTGGAAAAAACCCCAGGTAGAAGAGATCGTTGTTTTCCTCCTGCTGGATGTTGATGTCAGAGGGTCAAGGCCAGGGCAGTAAGCCAGGACGAGAAAACAGAAAGCACTTGGACTGGAAAACAAGTTGCACTTGTAGGCTGACCAGCAACTCACAGAGACCCCATGGGGCTGGGGCCCAACAGCTGTCGGTCCAGCCCAGCCTCGAACTCACAGAGATCCTCCTGCCATACACAACTTTCTTAAGAAATCAAAATGCAACAAGGTACAGTGGCGCACACCTTTAATCCCAGCACTCAGGAGACAGAGGCAGGCGGATCTCTGTGGGGACAGCTAGGGCTGCACAGAGAAACTCTGTCATGAAAAACAAAAGCAAACAAAAAGCATGTATACCACCACTGCCCCACTAAAATTTCTCTATTAAAAATACATATAAGAATAAATGCTAACACAACTATAGGAGTTCAGGAAATCATACAGCAGCAGATGACTCATGATTATATGAATTGTTTTAAACACTGAAAA